CGATGGCTGGAAGCTCATGTGAAGGAGAACAATAGACAGGAGGCACCAATTGCAGAAATTGGATTGTCTAAAAGATTTAGATCTTTTTGAGACAATGTGCAAGATTCTGAACATTCCGATGGAAGTGAAAAAGATATGGGCAAGGAGACGACTGATGCCATGGTTTAGAGCCAACATGACTGCATGGTTGTATGAGTATGCGAAGAAGCATATGTAGAAGCACGGCAGAGTGTACAGTGTGTATCAGCTGGACATTGGGGCAGGAGCTTTCAAGCGAGCTTTCCTGTTTCATCGGAATGCAGTGACCACCGCTGTTAAGAGAATTTCCAGGCCAAGTGAGCGTAATGGAAGAGAGAAGGAAGAGATATTGATGGAAGATTTGGAGAGAAACGTGACGTTGTGTCTCCACAACAGCTTCTGCACGAACAGAGAATCTAACATGGATCCCCTACCTTGTTGTAAACAAAGGGTAGAAGAGCCGAAGTGTTGGAGGACTGCTTCCAACAGCGTCAGAATAGCTAACGATGTGTTGCAAGACACAGAAACTGAAAGTGCAGAGTCAATGTCGCAGGAAGAGATGGAGCATTGACAAATGGCCGGAAAACAAGATGCAAACAAAAAGAAAATTAGAACAATTTAGAAATTTTAGAACTTCTAAACGACAAAAAAAGAAGAAACAAAGAGGTGACGGAAGAGAAGAAGTTAAACTTCAGAATTGTTTTATGTGTGTGACAAAAACTCAAGTAAGAAACTATGCAACTAAGTTGTAATTGAAAAGTGAGAGAAAACATTTAGTTGAGTTTTGAACACTAAAGTATTTGCTGCATTTATAAATTTGTATTCTGATTTTAGTTAGTGGCTTTAGAGACACTTAGTATTTATTAAGAAAGGCTTGAGTAAAAAGTATATTTAAATATTCTAGCCTGCTTGATTGTTTTTAATCAACTAGGACAACTGATCACTTTGTGGTAGCATGAAAGGCTTGGATAATCTCTTGAAGGGGGAGATTGTTTCATTGTTCTTTCTAACCACAGAGTTCCTTAGTTTTAATATTCAGGACCAATAACAACTAAAACTTCCGAAGGGAGGAAGCATAGTAGGATAATTTTAGCTTGTTGGTTGGCCGGACTGTCCTGCAAACTAACACCTTTTAAAACCTAGCAGAAAAAACTTTAAATCAGGGCGTTGACATGGGAAGTCAGAAAAAATGTTTTATCTAAAGTCATATCCTCGAAAGTGCAGATTAGTGAAAGATTTTGGAAGGCTATAGTAGTGTAGTATGATGCCATTTATATTCTGCAGTGAGTCGATATGACGTGGATAAAAATAATTTCGTGCATTTTGTAAATTCTGTTTGATGACACTGTACCAATTTTACGAACATTGCGAGATATCTGCACTTAAATAGGTTAAAAACTTAATCAGGGAACCCGGAAGGCTTGCGCGTTCCGAACTACCCTTCCAGCCCTATGTTAAGGGCATTTATTAGAGCATGAGCTCGGCGCGGAGTGCTTGTTGACGGGTCTGCCGATCATGATATTAAAAGAATAACAACCAGGAGCGCCATTAAAACATATGTAACATTCTCCCGCAAGTACATACCGACGGAAAAAAGCTAGGTTTTGAAACGACTGGCTAGCGTCTAAACACAACTTCACATGCTTTTAATCGTCTTTACCAAAGCAAATTCTGTGTTTGATCCATTAACATTGGGTCGACAAAGTCGTTACTATTGTGACATTCGACCAGAATGGACTAAAATGCAGATTCGGCAATTTCGAATTGTTAGCAGCTAACCCTCCGAATTAGCAGTTTTGAAGGATTAACAGTGTTATTGACAAGATTAGTCAAACTGAATATTCTGGTATTTCAAATTTTTAAAATTTCCAAGGATGACGTCATATTTCTGAGAAACGTCAAAAACGGCCATTTTGGAAGAAATTCAGAGTTAAGACGCAACAACAGTAGTTGCAACGGTAACAACAACGATAATTGAGAGAAAAGACGAAGATACGACAGAGTGTTAGCAGAGACCGCTCCGAGTTGCAACAATTGTGTCGCAACAATCGTCGCAAGGCCGTTCACAACAACGGTGAAGGGTAGAAAAACAGCCTTCCGGAAAGAAGATAAGGGTGTGATTTCTCCGGATTCAGGAATCTGGAGGGGTCTCGGGACTTGAACTGAAATCATTTTATATAAACTTTTAGCTTCCCGATTATGTCCTGAATTGAATTTATTTAACATTTGAATTCATTTTCCGACGATGAGAAGCTAGGAGTTAGGGGCAAGGGTTGATCCATCTTCGATGGAGATGATGATTTTTATCTACTGAACAAAAACAATATTAATATAATAAATAGTGGTAGCCCTGTTTTTACGAGTGACCTCGTGATCTGGGGATACTGAGATCCAGCCATGAGCTCGTTTATTTTGCATGTAAACAAGTTAATTTGAGTGTTTTGACGAAGCCGAAAGCAGTAACGTTTTTGTCGACCCGATGTTAGAAAGACCACCACAAGAACTCGCTTTGGTAGAGACAGTGAAAAGCATGTAGAGCTTAGTTTAGACGCTGGCCAGTCGTTTTATAGCTTAGCTTTATTTTCCGTCGATATGTACTTCCGGGCGAATGTTACATATTTGAGGCTATTGGTCAAATCACGCGGAATAGCTTGCTTACATGCAAAATTAATGAGCTCATGGCTGGGTCTCAGTGTCCCAAGACCACGAGGTCACTCCTAAATCAGGGTTGCTGCTCAATTATCAAAGTGCTATTGTTTTTGTTCAGTAGATAAAAATCATCAAAATCATTGGAGATGGATCAATCCTTGCCCTCAACTACTAGCTTCTCATATTCTGAAAACTGAACTAGATTATAATTAAATTCAACTCAGGGCCTTTCCGGAAGCTAAAAGTTGTTTAAAAAACAGTTTCAGTCTCTTCCCAAGACCCTTCCGGATTAATGAAACCGGTCGAAGAGCGGTCTTGTTGCCGTCTAGAAAGGGGAAGGGTAGTAAAATCTTCGCAATACCCCTCCGAGTTCTCGGGAACTGCTTCGTAACGATTGAAGCTGCACAATCGTTACACTTCGGATAGTCTCGATTGTAATCTCATTATAGTTTTCACTATTTTCTTCAGTGTCGAGACTCGTTGTTGTTTCTACTAGCGATAATCGTTCTTGTGATTTTCGCGCATTTTCAGTCACTGCAAAATTTCAATGTCGTGACGTGTCTTTACTTTCGAACGAATTTTCAAAAAGCACTTTGTGACCGCAAATTGACCTCTCCCAATTCGTTAAATGAACGATTAACCCTGCTAATTCGTCGAAATTGCCATTTTTCTCACTCGGCTGCTGCTAATGAAGTTTGGTTGTTGACATGCACTTTGACCGCCATTCTGGTCGAATGTCATACTGTTCAAATCATCGTAGTTTACGAGATATAGAAAGGTGCAAAAAGTTCGGACAGACAGAAATAATTAAAAAGAGCAATCTGCCATTTTTGAGCAATTTTTGCATGCAAATTTGAAAATTTAGGCGACACTGAGACATATTTTTTGTCTGAAAAATCAGCTTTTGCATGCAAAAATTGTCTGAAAAAAGTCATTTGCTCTTTTTAATTATTTTTGTCTGTCCGAACTTTTTGCTACTAATTATATGATGTTTTTTGTTATTTAATTCTCAAATTTTGAAATTCGCAACCCTTTAATTGGAAAGTGTCAGAGAATTTGCGGGAGTTGCGAATCTCGCCTCCAAATATGACTACTCAAATATTTTTAGTTTCTGAGGTATCACGTTTTTTTGTGGTATATTCTAAAAAATTTTCAGAAAACTTAATTTTGTTTGTTTTTCAATTTTTTAAAATCTCATCCTTATAATGAGCCTAAATGCGTATCTTGCCATGTAAAAGTTTTTTTTTTGTAACTGTACTGTTCATAACGTAACACGTGAGAATAGCAATACGTGAGAATAGTTTTTTGTCCAATTTTCCAGTTTGGATCCAGTGTTTGTTCCACCGAGTTAGAAGTAAGCAACACAATGGTGTGATGCTGTCAGAGTTCGCCAGGGGTTGCGAACCCTTTAAGTTCCCTAGAGTTTCCCAACCCTTTAGTTGGAATCTGTTAGAGATTTTTCTGTAGTTGCGAATCTCGCCTCAAAATATGACTACTCCAATCTTGTTACTTTTTGAGATATCATGTTTTTTTTTGTATTTTTTTCAAAGTATTTTCAGAAAGCGTAATTTTTTTTTATTTCAATTTTTGAAGTTCCCAACCCTTTGTTTGGGGGCTGTCAGAATACTGGAGGGGTTTCTGAATCTCGCCTCACGTATGACTGCTCAAGTCTGTAGTTAACGAGATAAGAGATAAGACATTTTTTTGTGATTTTTTATTGTCAATGTTTGTTCAAATTTTTAAACTTTGATCCTTGTAATGGGGGCTCCCAGAATATTCTCAGGGGCTGCCAGTCTTGAATCTAAAAATGACCGCTCAATACTTGGTAGTTAGCGAGATATAACATTTTTTGCGATATTTCAAAAAATTTTCAGAAAACATTAATTCAATTTTTGTTCAAAGTTTGGAACTCCCAGCCCTTTAATTGGGGGCTGTCAGAATACTCGAGGATGTTGCGAATCTCGCCTCCACATATGAATGCTCCAGTCTTTGTAGTTATCGAGATGTGACGTTTTATTGGTTTTTCAATTTTTCTCAAAATTCGAAATTCCTAACCCTGTAGAGGGGTACTGTGAGAGTACATTTTATGCAAATTTTGGGCCCAAATGCGACTGCTCAAATGCTTTTAGTTTCCAAGATGTTACGTTTTTGCAAAATTTGAAATTACAAAGCCTGTTATTGGGTGCTGTCAGAGTACACTCAAAGAATGCAGATATTTTTTTCAATTTTAAAATTGGAAGCACCGGAGGTGCGTTACACGCTAGTTACTCTTAACTTCATGTGTGACTTAAGTAGCCACTGTTACAGACAAAAGTGTTTTCTCTCAATTTTAGTTCCAACAATGAGGAATAAATTATTACAGTCTCTCCACAGATCTTTTTCAACTCAAGCTAAAATAACGACTCATTATTCAGTTTATCCACGTGAAAATGATGTACGATGGAAAGGTAAGTGGTATTTATTGTTTCTGAACATCTCAAAATATTTGAAACAGCGATTATTATGGAATAGCTGGTTTGGTATTTAGAAGTAGACATGGAACGAGTTGCGGATGAAACTGATGTATTAATTGTTGGTGCTGGTCCGGCTGGTCTCTCTGCAGCCATCAGACTTAAACAGCTTGCTACTCAGAAGGGCGCTGATATACGAGTCTGTGTTTTGGAAAAAGCTGCCGAAGTAGGTGCGTCGCGGTAACCCGCTACCATTTTTTTTGCGTTGCCATTTAATTTATAAGTAGACGGCAACTCGACCAGTATTGATCCTTGAACACTGATCCCGTCAGCTTCTGATTAAGTGTCAATTAAATATGTGACACATAATTAGGTCACTATTTTTCACGCTTTGACTCATATTTTTTTCAAGTTCAATTGAAAGTCATGCATTGAAAGGAAAACAGATTATGGTCTTTAACTGCTGAGAAAGTTAAAATAGCGCTAGAAACTTCATTTACTTTTAGGTTTGAAAGTTGATATTACTTTTTAGATTTCTCAAGGCGACAAAATATTCATATATTGGCCAAGTTATCTCTCTTTGGGTTAGCAAGTGTGTAGCAATCTTTACCATGCGATAATTATACTGGCGATTAGTCAGTGTTTACACAAGCGAAATCTAGTATGTTATTACGAAGAATTTTTTTACACATAGGTCGCAAGTGAAAGTGCTCACTTGGTGGCACTTTTGGTATGTTTCAGTTTATCATATTTAAGCCTATTTAAGCATAGGCAATTTAAAAGTATATTTTGTTGCTTTATTTTTGGCTAGTGTGAAGTCCTAACTGACAAAATAAACGCCCACCTCGAAAACTTAAAGGATTTGTTTTTTTTTTGCGACGCTTTGGAAAAATTTCGCCGTTTTCGCAGAAGTTTCATTTTTTCTCATACTATTGTACCATTTCTTAAAAAAAATGGTACCAATGGACAAGCAGGCGGCTCTTCTCTGTGCCTGCGTATTTCGCTAGTCTCATTTCGTTCTACACCACCTTCTATGGCTCTCGAAAGTTTCAGTAGGGGATTATTGTCCTGTTTTGAATTTTTTCATTTTCTGGCAAATATTAAATGCACAAAGCTGGGATGAAGATTTGAATCAAAAGAACAGATCACGGAGCGGAGATCGCATCTTCTCGAGTGGTTTTCCCTGAGTTTAGTAGAAATAAGTCCTGGCTTCAAACAAGCTCATTTTTTAACATTTAAGTTAATTTTTGAATTTTTTTGACTTTTCTCATAAACTACCCTGCCAAATTGGAGTTTGACTTTGACCGAATGAAAGTAGTTATGCACATCTTTCCTGCGCAAATGACTATGCCCGTAGTTTTGAAAAAAGCGTGCCCTAGAAAATAGCAAATTTTGCCCATTTTTTTCGTAGTTTCTTTCTTCAAAATCAACCTAATGATTCTGAAGTTGTTTTTCTGTAGAAAACTTCGGAAAACTCCATTCTTCGAAACTTTTACCGTCTTTAAAGAAATTTAATTCCTTTTATTGAAAACTACTAGCTAAATTTTTGAATGCTTTAGTATAGGCTTTTCATACGCTTAAGTATAGAAAAGTTTTTGGTTCTTTGAATAGTCAAATTTCTATTTTTCGTTCAATTATTGGAAACTTTTTTCAAAAGTTACCCAGCCAAGTCTGAAATAAAGAATTCAATTGAAAGAGCGGGTAGTAGTTTTGATTTTTACTCAAGCAGATATCTCTTTTTAAGCAGAGGAATTAGGGTTTTGCGTAAAGTCCGATTTGCGGCTATCTGATTTGATCACTCTGTAAAATCCTTTTTTCGTTTTCAAAACTTCTGATTTCTCAATTTAGGCATTTAGCTTCAGCTAAAAAAACGATTTTCATTCTCTCTATAGCCTCACGAACATCATCTATATCGAGTAGAATTAGGTTTGAGCTTTTTACTGATCCTTCTGTTTCCACTTTTTTCAGGTCTGTCAAAATATCTCGACGGGAAACAATTAGAGATAAAGCTTAGCTTTGCATGAACATGTTCCCTTAACCCATACATTTGGCTTTTTGCTGGTAAAATAGAATGATCAATTGTATCAAAGGCTTAGGGTAGTTTTATAACATACAATATGCAGACTGCTTTGTATTTGATTTATCAAGTAAACCCTACGGCGTCTAATTTGGCATCAACTGTGGATTTTTGTTCTGGTAACGAAAATATTTGATCGGCTTTTAAAACAGTTGGTCATTGGTAAATACTAATCGATTGCCACCTTAATATACTAACAAATTTACTGCAACAGACATTTTGTGCATGGTAGCAGTTTAAAAATATGTCCTGTTCGAATTTGCCTTTTATTTTGGTGGATTTTGGTGGTGATTTTACCAAGTCGTTTTTTTTCAGCGGCTTTCTTTTGTGTTTCTTTTGTGTTTCATTTAAGATGTTTCGGACTATCGTCCGTCAGTTAAGTTTTGTCGGCATTTTTTTTCGGAAATTTTCTTCCGTCGGTTGATGCGCACGGAAATCTTTACCATGCGATAATTATACTGGCGATTAGTCAGTGTTTACACAAGCGAAATCTAGTATGTTATTACGAAGAGTTTTTTAAACCTAAGTTGCAAATAAAAGTGCTCACTTGGTGGCACTTTTGGTATATTTCTGTTCAATCTATTATATATTTAAATGCGGGCTTCACTATCTCGCCAAGCTTTTTCAACGTATTATTTTTGCATGTTTAACAAAAAAATTTTGCACGTTTACGCTATCTCGCATATTGGCATATTGCAATGGTTAAGATCTTTTTTTTTCAATTTCCAGTTTAATTTCAGTGTTTATTTCATCAAGTTTGAAATTAGCAATCCAATAGTTAGTGGTTTTCCCAGGTTATGCGATTCGGGCCTCCATATATGAATAAGCAAATCGTTTTAGCGTACGAGATACGGAAATTTTCGAGATTTTTGTCAGGGTACTCTCTGGGGTTGCGAATCTTGCCTCCAAATCTTACTTCTCAAATCCTTGTAATTTTCGAGACGACGTTTTTTATGATTTTTTCAATAATTTTCAAAAAAACTTAGTTTGAAAAGTTCCAGAACATTGTGAAGATCTCAATCCTGTTGTTGGAAACTCTGAGGGTACTCTCTGGTGCTGCGAATCTTGCCTCCAAATATGACTGCTCAAATCTTTGTATTATCGAGAGATGACGTTTTTAATGATTTTTTGAAAAAAAACTTAAATTTATTTTTTTTCTTAAAAATTTGAATTTCTGAAGTCTGTAGTGGGGTCTCTCAGGATAGCCTCAGCTTCTCAGGGGTTGCAAAACTTGCCTCCAAATCTGAGTACTCAAATTTTGTTAGTTATCAGGATATGACGGTTTTGTTACTTAAATTCAACCTCTTCTCATCTTTTCAAAATCTGAAATTCCTAGCCTGTAGTTGAGGGCTGTCAGTGTAATCTCAGGGGTGGCGAATTCGGCTTCCAATTAAGAATGCCCAATTCGTTTCAATTCACGAGGTACGACGATTTTTGTGTTTTTTTCAGAAGTTTTCAGAAAACTAAAATTACAAAATAATTCACAAAATTAAAATTCGCAACCCTGTAGTTGTGTGCCGCTAGAGTACTATCAAGGGTTGCGTGTATTATGTTTAAATAAGGCTGCTCAAATCTTGGTAGTTTTCGAGGTATGACCTTTTTTCTGGTTTTCAAAAAAATATCTTTTTTTTTTTAGAAATTTAAAGTTGGCTATTGTACGAGTTCTCTCTGGAGTATCAAATCTTGCGTTGAAATGCGACTGTTCAATTGCTTTTAGTTTCTGAGATTGACGTTTCTTAGTTAATTCCAAAATATGCGGTTGAATGAGTTTTCAGAAATTCGATGCACCGGAGGTGCTGTACACGCTATTTAAGCATAGGCAATTTAGTAGTATATTTTGTTGCTTTATTTTTGGCCAGTGTGAAGTTCTGTTTGACAAAAACCACCCACCTCAAAAATTTATAGTATTTATTGTTTTTCGTTGCGGCGTTTTGGAAAAATTTGCCCTTTTTGCAGAAATTTCATTTTTAAAGTATTTCGTTTTTTTTTTCAATAAGATGGTACCAATGGACGAGCAGGCTGCTTTTCTCTGTGCCTGCGTGTTTTGCTAGTCTCTTTTCATTCTACCCCACCTTCTATGGCCCTCCAAAGTTTCAGTAGGGGCTTATAGTCAAATTTTTATTTTTCGTTCAATTATTGGAAAGTTTTTTCGAAAGTTACCCAGCCAAGTCTGAAATAAAGAATTCAATTGAAAGAGCGGGTAGTAGTTTTGATTTTTACTCAAGCAGATATCTCTTTTTAAGCAGAGGAATTAGGGTTTTGCGTAAAGTCCGATTTGCGGCTATCTGATTTGATCACTCTGTAAAATCACTTTTTCGTTTTCAAAACTTCTGATTTCTCAATTTAGGCATTTAGCTTCAGCTAAAAAAACGATTTTCATTCTCTCTATAGCCTCACGAACATCATCTATATCGAGTAGAATTAGGTTTGAGCTTTTTACTGATCCTTCTGTTTCCACTTTTTTCAGGTCTGTCAAAATATCTCGACGGGAAACAATTAGAGATAAAGCTTAGCTTTGCATGAACATGTTCCCTTAACCCATACATTTGGCTTTTTGCTGGTAAAATAGAATGATCAATTGTATCAAAGGCTTAGGGTAGTTTTATAACATACAATATGCAGACTGCTTTGTATTTGATTTATCAAGTAAACCCTACGGCGTCTAATTTGGCATCAACTGTGGATTTTTGTTCTGGTAACGAAAATATTTGATCGGCTTTTAAAACAGTTGGTCATTGGTAAATACTAATCGATTGCCACCTTAATATACTAACAAATTTACTGCAACAGACATTTTGTGCATGGTAGCAGTTTAAAAATATGTCCTGTTCGAATTTGCCTTTTATTTTGGTGGATTTTGGTGGTGATTTTACCAAGTCGTTTTTTTTCAGCGGCTTTCTTTTGTGTTTCTTTTGTGTTTCATTTAAGATGTTTCGGACTATCGTCCGTCAGTTAAGTTTTGTCGGCATTTTTTTTCGGAAATTTTCTTCCGTCGGTTGATGCGCACGGAAATCTTTACCATGCGATAATTATACTGGCGATTAGTCAGTGTTTACACAAGCGAAATCTAGTATGTTATTACGAAGAGTTTTTTAAACCTAAGTTGCAAATAAAAGTGCTCACTTGGTGGCACTTTTGGTATATTTCTGTTCA